CACAGGCGAAGCCGTGCTGTGGGCAGAGCACAGCGCATTCCAGCCCCCGGGCTCCCGGCTTTTGTACAAATAAGGAAGCAAACGGTCCAAGTCGGACTGACTTTCAGTGCCGCAGGAATAGCAAGTGGGTGGATGCAGGAAAAGGAGACATTAGGAAGTCTTATCTTTAAAACTCCAAAGAGAAAACTTAGAGCAGGACCACTGTACTGGTGAGAACAGCACTTCAGCTATGAAACAGCTATTTCACAGCAGGAAATACAGTGACATCCTTTGTTGTACTTAATGCTGTAAGGGAGTGCCAGAGGAGAGGATTTTGCACAACCGTGTCTCTGTTTTTCTTCACAGAAGTTGAGGGGGTCACACATGTATGTTGACAGGGGCCTTGCTACCGCCAGCACCCACAGAAGATGTGTTTGGTCCATCTCGGGGGAGACTGTCCCAGCAGCAGACAGGTGAGCCTGGCAGCGCAGTGCAGCAAAGTGCCTGCGGACAAAGCTCTGCCCAGCCCAGGCTGGTCATAAAGTTTTTCTTGGAAAAAGGTGAGGTTTTTCTAGCTTAGGTACCTCCTTTTACTGAAAGGAGTAGCTAGGCAGGACACTCACGTGCAGAAAGCTAGCAAGCCAACAGCAGCTCAGCATCACCTTCTTGGTGAAGAAAAGACAGCGAGCAACGGCCAGTCGGTGGGCACGTACTGCACTGCCAGCTCTTTGATACCAGCCACTTGGCTGCAGCACACGATGAACTAGGCAAGCTGAGCCAGTGTTTAACATTTATCTTCCAATGCTTGGTGTAAAAAATATCAGCTTTTAATGACAGTATTTATTTTTTTAAAGGACAGCTGTTTCTTTCACACTATGAATTAACAAACTACTCTGACCAAGCAGATTTGTACCATACCCGACAAATCTGAACTGGTTGTGAAAATAATTTAGCTTAGGGTTGTTTTTTCTCCTGCATACTTCCACTTTTCAGCTTCATACATTTCTTTATTCTGGTGTGCTGAGATTGTGACAGCCAGGGCTCCCGTGCTCCTCAGGTTCTGGTGGCACAAGGTTCTGATCTCAGCTGGGGCACTCAGTGCCTTGGCAATAACACTGCCAAACTGAGACATTTGTCTCTGTATTGCAGAGATGCTGGTTGTGCTTTCACGATTACATTGAAGGAGCGGTTCTTGGCTCCCAGCAGCACACAGGTGTTTGTGTCAGGTGAACCTGGACACAAGCTCATCACCAAGGAGCCATGTAGAAGCTCCTCTGGAAAAGTCTGGAGAAAGGTGGGCACTGCCATTTTGCAATGTCACTTGAACTCCACCTGCTTACAGAGCAACCTACCCTGACAGAAAATAACCAGTCCTTTATCTGTATCTTATGAAGTAGAAAAAGTAGAAAAAAACCCAAGCCGCTCCTACCAGTCTGGCTTCCTCCCAGGCCTCCAGCCTGTATTTCTGCAGATTTTCCAAGTGACTGTTTCATTGATCTCTTGGCTTGTCCGTCAACACCTGCTTTGTGCGGTTCCCTTCAGTATTCTGCATTTACTTATTCCCACACTAAGGATCCGCTCTCCCCTGCCCTGGCCAACTGCATTTTAGTGCAATAATCTGTGAGATGAAGTCGTATGAGAACAACTTGCAGTTCTGAGTTTGCTGAATGCAACACAGATTTCTTCTTCTAAAAGAAAATAGTAGCTAAGCACTTTGAGAAATTCAGGTCCATTTGGGGAAGGTGTAAGAAACTAATATTAGAGCTGTCATTTAATTCTTAAGGCAATAAAAAGGACCAAGAGGCCAAGTCACCTCTGAATGTCTTTCATGTTGGTTTGTTACACAGGGTGATCTTGTTTTACAAGTGCTCTGTTTACAAGAATGCTGGGGGGGGGGGAAATGTCCATTTAAGTCTCACAATCGCATAGGGCTACTTTTGTAAAGGTCTGATCCAGTCCTACCAGCTGCTTGCCCACAAAACTTTGCAATTGTGAGGGCTAATTAAGATTCTTCAGAGGAGCTCTCCTCTCGCCGGCGGTTGCCGAAGGCCTCATTAGACATGCTGTACCTCCCCTTCGCCCGCCAGAATGCCCCACTGTGCTTGACTTACGTTATGGCTTATGAATTAACCCATTGATTCTGAAAATATCATTACTTTGGGGCTAAAGAAAGCTGTTCCTTTTAAGGGAAAAAAATCAGGGCTGCACATAGGAATAAACCGACACTGTATTACCTCTAAACTCCCTTCTCTCTCCCACTGCAAGTCGTAGATTCACTTGCCAGGATACAATGGGCTCAGTTCAAAGGGAATTTGTGAAGTCTGGGCCTGGGCAGTAAGCGTGACCTATCTGCTTGCACACAGGAAGTTTTATTGACATGCCACTCAGATTTTAAAAAATCAGTTTACATGAAATGACTGTGTGCATTTGCCTTGTCTTTTTTGTGTCCATTACTCTCTGCAGCTTCAAAGTGAAGAAACAAGTAACTGGTATAGCTCAAGCATGCCTGAGAACTGCTTGGTACCAAAGTCGTGTCACTGAACACCACTTTAGTGCTGGAACCAAATTTCTACTGGTATCAATACATAACATTGGACCTCCATTATCTTTGAGTGGCTATGGCTACAAAAGTTTATATTCAGTCTTTCTATTGGTTTTTAACCAGAACCAAATTTGATTTAAAGCCCAAACTGAGGAATATGTATATTTATGTTTCATCTAATAGAAATGGCTTTCCCCTGCTGTGTTTGTGCAAACATCTGCTTTTGATTTTTTAAAAGAAAGTCAACTGCAGAAACAAGATAAGGTATTTCAAGTAGTGAAGAAACACAATATGCTGACATACAGAGTTTCAAGTTGGTCACAAGAAGCCTACCACCAGCTTGGACACACTCCTTTTGGTGAATGTTCTGAGTTATTAGCTATACCTCTTTCAATTATAAAGGATGCTCTCCTTTTCCAAAACTAAAAATTAGAACATTAAAACATATGAAAACTTCACCACACAAACCCATACTATATATTGTAGTAACAAAATGCTTTATTTGGGGGAATACAAGGAAAAGTGTGACATCCTCATTATCAAATTGTTTTTAAAAGGCATTCTTTCTTTCAAAAACTTAACACTCATACAGAAAAGGTGACCTGTGGATAAGCCCTCTCACTTAGCAGTGGGAATTATTTTTTATTTTACAGCTGAAACTGAGATTTGAATAATCTACAACAACAGATTTCAACTTTGCTGGTATTTTCTAGTAGCTTGGGGCACACTTGGCACTGCTCCGGTCTGACAGCCCACAGGAGGCTGACAACACAACACCGAGATGGAGCTTTCACAACCCTCACTCAGGTCGCTCTGCAACAAACCACAAGACTTCACCATTACCACAAGAAGACAGTGAGAAAGCCACAAGGTAACTCGTCTTATCTCTGAAGACTTCTCATGCAAGCCATGAAATTCTCAAACTGTTCATCAGATTACATCTCAGTACTTCACCACACATCCCCGTTGCTGCAAGCCAGAACTGTGTTGCAAAAGGTAAAGAACAGATCAAAGGTGAAATACAATTAATTTCCCCAACATACCTGCTTTCTAAGCAGTAGGTTCCAAGTAAGTTGGGATACGTTTTAAAGACTGCAAATTTATATCCATGAATTACTTTTGCCCTCTTTGAACCTTGTTAAAGTTGTTAAAGAAAGGGACTGGGAAGTTCTAGAATTGTCAGGTTATAAAGTAAGCATTTGTCTTTTAATCCAGCATGACAACTCTGTGCCACAAGGCATATCCATGCTAAGCCATAAGATAGATCAGTCTTAAGGGGGGGTTCATGTTGTCTGAAGCGGGAATGGCAAACTCCAAAAGAACTAATGGTTTTCTTTATTCAGGTTAGACATAACAAATGTCATATACAGCAGTTAGTCTAGAAAAATACATTTAAAAAAATCTTCAGCAGACATGCTCCCTGTAACAAAATCTTTCAAAACCAATTGTACAAATTATTCTACATTAATGTAAAAAGAAAGTCTTAAATTTAGCATCATGGATTCCATCAAACATCTATCTATCAAAACATGAGCTTCACTATTTGTAGATGTTAGAATTCATAATACATTTTTCTAACGTATCCTGTACATATTAAATAACCTAAATGCTCCTCTTGTAGTGCATTAACAATTTAGCAAGCACACTCAGTATTTCTCCAGTACCATTTGCATTACAGTTATTTGCCTGCAAATGTAATTAACATCTAAAAGTGCACACAGTTAGACCCCCCCCCACCCCCACCCCATAACCTGTTTCCCTGCTGAAACCCAGACATCCACTGGAAACTTTATGCTACTGTAGCTAATTGTTATTAGAAATGTGTGACTACAATGTTCTTAAACTATACAGGAACTGAATTATATACAAGAATCAAAAGGACAGCCTGTATTTACATTAAACTTTCACTACCACAGCATTATACCAAGAACTCAATACAGTGTTACAGAGGGTATTTACTTAGGATTTTAGCTTTAAATCAGTATAACACACAACCTAACTCAGGAAACACCCTGAAAAAAGTGAATATGTTTATTAAATACGACTTCTATTATGCCACAAGACAAATATCCGTTGCTGGATATTCTTACAAGTTCAGTGTTTGAAATAGTGTGCTGTTCTATAAAGCAACTAAGAAGTTCCAGAAAAGTTGCTGGCGAAAAAAAAAGGAAAAAAGAAAAAAAGAAAATGGATGGGGAATAGAGGAAAAAGGACAGCAGACACCAAGTGAGGAATTAGATTTGAATAACTAAACCAAACCGTTAGCACAAGCTTAAGACAGTCACTGCATGCAGAAACCCCTTGGAAAAGCATCATACAGATCTGAGTAGGTTGTAATACACAAGCTAAAGATGTAACTTCACTGAATTTTTCCATAACAGTTGGTAAGACTTTTCCCTATCAAGTGGAAAAAAAATTAAGATTAAATTCCAGATTATCCAGTTTGAAATTAATAGCTTTACTCTCCAGAAATCCAGTGTATGCACCTATATTACATTTTTCCAATGCTACTTAGAAAAGGCAAACTATAAACTTTTCAATTCACTTTTTACATTGAACTTTTCAAAGAAATACAAACTGTTGTCTTTAATTCGCATTAAAGTGGTCAAACATGTCTCCTGTTTCTTCCCTCTTCAAAAGTGCAAAAAACAAGTTGCTGCTTGGTCCACAAACATAACTCATCATGTACAGTGCGAGATTTTCCTTCTGATGGAGTACTGCTGCCAGCCCATCACTTCCAGTTTCTACTCCAAGAAAGACGTCAGCGTCCAAAGATGGAATTCAATTCCAGTAGAATTAATTCTACAATCTGGTTCTGGTACACAGTGTGGACTGCTATGTTACCAGTCTCTTTCTCTGGTTTTAGTAAGGTTGGACCAAAAACTATTGCTACACTTTGATAAGTCATTCGGTTCTTTTCTCCATTTTCTACAACTCTGAAAGAGAAAACAAAAAAACCCCAAACATCAGAAACAAACAAAACACAAAGACTCATCAGTGTAAGAGTAATGGGATGACAGGAAAAAGACAGTCCAAAGCAAATGACTATTCACAATATTTATGTAATGAATAGTCTTGTCACTGGGACATACAACTGCTGAGATTCCCCTCTCTACAGAAAAGCTTTATTTTAAAAGGCTATTCCTGATCCTCTCCCAATCCCTCCAACATAAGGAATTGGCAGTAAATGTCACAACTGTAACACACACTGCCTAAAGCCCATTTGGTGCTCTGCAAGACTGCATAAACTCAGAGATTTATTGTTTTCATCAAGTCCAATATAGGCAAGAAAAATGCAGTGGGAACAGTCATCCTGTGCTTTTAATTGGATTATTTAACTTTAAGGGACAATCAGCAATACAAAGTCTGTGCTTTTATCTGCTACTTACCTCTTCAGGTGTCTAAAGAGCACCTGCATAGTGTCCTGATTTGGTTTTGGCAACTGTTTGATTAAATCTTTAACAGCATGGACACGCTGCCTTGGTTCTTGTTCTGCAAAAGGATGAGGTGTAGAAACAAAAATTCAGTATTTTTGTTTAAAACTTCAGCATAAACTTTAACAGACGGGGAATAAAACCAAGCATTTTGCAGTGCTAATAAGAGATAAAATACTGCCACCTCCTGACTGGATCGTGCATTACTGACAAGCAATTTTAGGTATGCCTTACAGACATTAATAACCAAAGCATTCTTTTTACTGTCTAAAATAATTAAATTAATTGTACATATAGAGCAGAACTTGTACAAAAGGCACATGCATGTTTTCCAGACTTACTAATTGCATTAACAAAGTCATTGAAGTGATTGTAAGTAAACAGCGGTTCCGGCAATTCCCTAAAAAACATCTTCAGAGCTCCAGTGATTACATGTATATCTTCCCATTTACTATCATTCAAATCTAGTTTTTCATCTGAGAAGAGAAAAATTAATAATCAATGTTAATAATTTAACTATAAAAGCTGCTTGCCTTTTTTTTTTTTTTTAAATAAACTTAATTACTCTTCTGTACTTACTGCTTTTAAAGCAGTGAAGACACTTGCTCCAATTCAGCCCATTCTCTGCTGGGATAGAGAACTGCAGCAATGTAAGAGCCGATACAAAAAACCTCAACCACTAGAGACAGAGATGGCCAAACTCTGCCTACTGCACTGCATGCAGCTTCCCTATGCCAAGGGCATTTTCCAGAGGGGAATAATACAAAATTTTCTGTTAGACTCTGTCAATCAGGAAATGAGAGGTCAGATCGTAGATGGGCTACCGTCCTCTTCCTAGCTGCAAGCTGCCTATTGACTCCCACTGAACAAAACACTGAAATACAGCCACACGGAAGGGTTTTGTACACAAGAGTATGACAAAGAGGAGCTAAGCACCCCCACACTAAAAGGCAGTAGCAAATCTCACTAAAAAGCATTAACTTACAATTCTGATGCTGGCCGCAGCTTACTGTGCTTACTGTTTTTTTCATACGGGATGAAGTTTTTTGTTTGAAATAATTCTCTCCCCTCAAATTCATAGCAACCTTTCATCAGAATTACATTCTAGCAATGCCTTTATGCTCCACATAAGACCAAACCTCCAGGATGCTAGGTTTTTCAAATTATGTATATTACGCACTAAATTGTGCGATTTTGAAGTAATTTTACATTGAAGATGACAGTAACTTCTCATGAAAGACTGCAGTTATACTTTAAGAATTATTTTTCCTGAGCTTTCTATGAACTTCAATGATATGAAAATATACGCAATTGTAACATAGTTGAAGGACACTTACCGTGATTGACTGCAAATCTTAGCTTCTGTATCACTGCGAGATTGCCACTAACTCTGTATAAGCCATCAACTTCTAATCCTAAAACAAAGAGATAAAAATACATTTTAATACCTTACACAATCATGAGATTGCTTCTTTATAGGCCCAATCAGCAAAATTAAAAACAAAAGAAACCCACCTTGTAAGGAACATTTAGTTCAACAAAAACCACAGTTAAACTTAGCTTTTTTGATGGACAGGGCATACCAGAGGAAGTTTAGTTTGCTGACACAGGTTTGGTGGCACCGAGCTCAAAATAATCTCTAAAATTTCCTGTGCAGTAGAACAACAGTAATGAGGCAACAGCTCCAAGTTTCCCCAGTGAGACCAGGTGTCTCGTTTAAGATGATCTTGGCAGGTGGGCAGGAGGTATATGGGAGCCCAACATGCAAGAACCAAGTATTTTGTGTATGTTCAAATTTTTAACGTATGGTTAATAAAAATCGAATCAAGTAATACATAGAGAAGAACATCTCAAAGTTGTCAAGTGACCAGGTTTGCATGGAGAAGGAATGATGTGCATGCACACTCATCACTACCCAACAGCTACAAAACTGAGTAGCCTTTACAGTACTGCACACTCAACTAGAAAAGAAGGAAACTGCATCTCTGTGACTGCTACTGCAGTTTCTCAAAAGGGATTAGGAGGCAAAGAATTAATTGAAACGCCAATTTAATGGTGCATGTGAGTCAGTGCCACTGAGAAGGGCGAGTGTTGCCAGAATACCTGCAAGTCCCTGTAGCTCCTCAAGGAGTTGTCTGATGCAACACAGCACAGTTACCAGCACCATCTGATATATCCCTTTTCCCCATAAAGTCTTTCCTTTATAGAAAGAACTGATTTGGAGTGTACTGGCAGTAGGAGGAAGAGTTGGAGAAGTGGGGGGAGGAAAAGCTGTTCATTTCTGTCAGCTTCCCCTCAGGTATTTAAAAAAGGAAAACTTCACTAATGTCTTCACTGCAGTCCTGTCTTCAAAATAAAAAAGGAAGCAAGAACAAAGCAAAATAACCCCTTTCTCACGAACTGCAGATCACAAACAGCATAAAGCCTGCTCTTAAAAGCAAGGTGGCAGTTTGTCGAACTGGAGTAAGTCAACAGAAGAGTTATTCTTCCCTTCCCAGACCGTAAGTCAGCAGCATTGAGAAAGGACTACAGGCTGCAAAAAAACCCCTAAATGAAGTTCCCATGGAAAATTACTTCAATTTCACATACAGTATTCCCCTGTGACACTTACCCTCATTCTCAAGAGAATGTTCTCAGATTAACACACTGGTATATATTTGATGATGATTATGGAGGTCCCATAACCCCCTCTCAAGTCATCTTTTCCAAGAGATAGGGCGATGACAACAGCAAGAAACAAGCAAGAAAACATCACAGACTACAGCCACATCAGGAGTCACAACCAACACATTTTCAACAAAAATGTGAAGATGCCCTTTACAACAGACAACCCAGAATGTCACATACCACTTTCAGACATACAGCCTTCTCAGTTATTAGGTAGGAGAGACTTATTTTCAATGAAAGCAAACAAAAATTATCAGTATCCACATAGCGTCTCAGTCTCCAGAACTGCATAAAACTTCACACAGCAATAGGCGTAACTGGCTGAAGGACAAACTGATAGACTTGTCTTCAGGCAGTCAGAGCATAGACAGATCAGGAACACAACCTTTTCCTAGAAGTTTGTTTCAAGGCAGTTTTAATATAAATTATTTTGTTATCATGCTTAAACCTTTTAAACCTTTCAAAAGCTGCATTCTGACATCTCTTTTCATCTGAAACAAGTGATGGGCTGAGCTCCTCCATTATTTGGAGGCTCTTTTCTTAGAGCCTTGCTGCCAGAAGGCTGTCCTGCCTTCTCCTCAGCTTGAAAGACACTGAAGCAGATCAGTTTTTCTGTTACAAGACCGCCTCCCCGCTCCCCAGTTTGGATCCCACCTACCTCCCCACTCTTGAAAACTCATGGCTATTTACAGATACAGGTCTCAAATTATTTCCCCCGAAGAAATCTGGATTTTAAGGATTAAAAAGTTTAAAATTAGGTAGTGTGGCAAGTAAGAGAAATTTGGAAACAAAAAATTTTCAGCATACCATGTTCCTCTACATGCTCAATGCACAGCTTCACGAACTTTGGCACCGTGCTGTTTTCTCTTTGACACAAGCTGGTGAGATTGGAACCAAACACTTGATCTGGAACCAAGTAAAGAGACTGATTTACAGTGGAACAGGACTCAAGTGACAGAACTAGTTCAGGTTAAAATACACCTCTACAAAGGGCAAACACTACTGGATACAATTGTCACAGTATTAGAGTGAAAATAGGAAAGTTTTGAAAAGAGCTCTCAGCAGCTCCCAGCAAGGAAAAGCTCCCAGTAAGAAAGTATGCCAGCAGTCACCCAAATGTGAATTTCTGAGTAAGTAACTGTTGTTACTGAAATAATTTTAATCCATCAGGAGATACTTGTAAGAGTCATACAGTCATTACTGTAATGAGAAATTTAATGGATTCAAATGTCCTGTTACACTCCATTCCTGTTCTGAGATCAAAATACATTTACACTAAAAATCTGAACAGAGGTGATAAACTTTAACCAAAGTAAAGTTTTGGCATTGCTTGTGAAAAAACCCTGTGAAATTTCATCTTTCATCACACCTACTGTTTAAGCCAGCATTACATATTTATTTACTTTAATGTGGAGTCTTTAACTTCTAACATTTTTAAGTTCTGACATGGGTTGGTAAACGACAAGCCTTTGTAACACAGAGCTCTGAATGGATGCAAGCATGTGTATGCATAGGCAACCTAGCTGCAAGGTTGGAAACTAAACACATTTATGGGCAAAGGTAATTCTGAGGTAATTCAAACCTACACAATCCAAGGGGAGTGTCTTCTGTCAAATAGGAGCAAAAAGGAAAAATCAGCTTGGGCAGAGAGCAGATTCTTGCAATGCCGCGGTGTATTTCAGCAACAAGGTAGCTCTTGTTCACGTTATGTTATCACCAGAATCTCTCAAGAGTCTCTCTTCTTTTAAAATCCATTAAATAAGGTATGTAAGTGGCCATCTTCAGAGTATCTAGTACATCTCACTTCAGAGGTTATGCAAGAGAGAAACTGCTCTTGCATTTGCATCATGCAAACCATCTAGCCCATTTTTCATGTTTAGTAATATAAGTAAATTCATTATCAGCACTTACATTTGACCACGGCTTTGGGAAACCCAAACAGCACACCAAGCCAATTATACAGTATGAAAACTGGCATATAAAGGTACTATTAGCTGTATGTGTGTGTAAGGCCATTGACCCAAAGCACCTCAGTCCTGCTGCTGCTACTCACGCAGCCAGTTGTATAAGCAGAATCAGTAGCAAGGGATTGAAAGCCCACGCAGTCGAAAGCCAGGCTAGCATGCAGGTGCAGCAGGTAAAGCAATGCAGATTAGGTAGCATAAGAAAATATCAGCTTGTAACAAACTGACTTGCTACAATTACCTCTGACTTCAATACTTTCCACATATAAAGGAATCATATTTTTCCTCTCATCATAAAGTAACTTTTGTAGTTTTGTTTTTCTATTTAACAAAACTTTAGCACAGTTGCTTCTGTGGTTAGTGCATGCTGTTTCAAGAGGGTTTTTTCCTACAACTTTTCATTATTTTTTTCTGCTCGTACTGGGTTTGCCAAGTTTTCCATTTACTGAGCTTGTTCTGTAGCAGCCACAAAAGTACATAGTCTTCTTTTAAATGAAGACTTCCGTATTTTTCATTTATACAGTAAATACAAAACTGTACAGCACAGATCAGATTTACACCATGCTTTTAAATAAAAAACAAACTCTTCATTCCTTAACATCTTTATTAAAAATCCAATCATCAGCACGCACATGTACAAATTAAACTTGGCTTAGCGTTATGTCAGAAGTTATGTCACTGAGCCATGACATGAATAGCAAGCTGTAAAGCAGAGCAAAGCATCAAAGTCTGGGAATAATCCCTCCTTATCCCAAATAAAAAGTCCATAATTTACAGTTAAATTATATTTGCAGATACACAAATATATCAATTGCCACATGCAACAGAAGCACATCTGTTATAGTATGTAGTTAGGCAAATCTCAGTAGGATTTGGGCTGATATTTGCCTACTCATATACTATTTTGACCCTAGTAGAGCACCACCTACAAGTCCAGCTAAAGCATACAAATAAATAAGTGAAGTTTTACAGTGGTACCAAGTCAATAATCCACACAAACACATTAACTTAAACCTGTGCAAATACTGTTCTTTCAAAGTTTCTACAAGTGTAACAAATGGAAATCAATTCTTCCATGAGTTTGATTCAAGAATATCTGTAAGACTCAATGTTTGTGAAACAATTAAAAAACACATACATTCAAAAAGGGTAAGGGAAGAAGGACGTTTTAGTTAAGATTCCTTTAGCCTCATCCTAGTTTGCCTAAATATTTCATTTCTTATAGGTTGGCACATGATTGTCTGGTTCCACTCAGACTAAAACACCCTTGTGAAACAGATGAGCACGTGCATTCCGCTTTGTACCCAAAGGGCTTTTCTTTCCCTTGTATGCCCAAATCATTACCAGCTATCCAAAGTTCCCAGCTCAGAATAGCAGACCAAATGGACTTGCTAGCAAGAAGCACTCCAAGTTCAGAAAGGCTCCTGGGCCCTCAATTTTCACTGCAGTTTTGCCAGTAATGAGCTGAAGGAGAGGACATCCTCCATGAAGTTTAGGTGCTAGCAGCAGTGCTCAGAACGACAATCAATCACCAGTCCCACCATACATCCAAGACTTTGATAAACCAGCTATATACAAGTGTTTTACTATAAAATTTGACTATTTTAACCCCATTTTACACATGAACTACTAAATTCAGCTTTTCAAATTATCTCCTTTGTTAAAAAGGTTCATTTACCCTTAATGTAGCCTTTTTCACGGACAGCTTGTAATGTAGGGCGCCGTGTAAGAAACTTCTTCAGTTTTGTTTTGGTCTTCTTCTGATCTGTGGAATCGATATTGCTAGGTGCTTTCACTGCTGAAAAGAGAAATGCAGTAAGTATGAATTATCACAGAACCAACACTGCATTTATCTGCCAAGGAACCAACATTAAAAAAAAATAAGCTCAAAACCACATTAAAAAACTATTCAAATCTGCAACACAGCCACATTTTTTTTCCCCTTAACTTTTTGGAACTCCTTGTAAATAGCATCCATTTTTCAAACCACCAAGAGACAACCCTGTCACAGAAAATCTGGTAAAACCAAACGCTGCCTGTGAAACTAATTAAATGGTAGCTTACATATGGAATTGATGTCGAATTTTAAAAATACAGCTATGTTTCAAAACTGGTGCTGCCTTTCATTAAGTTAACTGTTTTGAAAGAAATAAATACTTTCTTGCAAAGTACACAAAAGGCCTGAAAGTAGTTTTCTGTCTGAAATTTCTGCAGCTAAATGAAATTTAGCTCTAAATCTCAAGGTGTAGTTAAAAATGTTTAGTTTCTCTGAATTAGCCAATATAACATCATTAGCAACTTAGTGAAATTGCAATTTAAGTTAGTAGTGCAAATATTTACAGATGCTGTACCACAGACAAAAAGTAAAGCAATTCTAATCAGTTTTGTACATGTAAAAAGACAAAACAACTCTTATTCAAAATCATTCATAAAATTTCAAGAAAAGAAATGTCTAATTACTTTTGTGCATTTGACAACACTTTGAAAATCATTCATTTCACTACTGCCTATTTTCTTCTATTTTTTGTGTGTCATACAGCAAGGGCTTAAGACATTTGGTACTTTTTCTTTTTTCCCCAAGTATGATTAATAAAACATGAAAGAAATCTATGAAGTGGCACCAAGATGTAGAATGAACTGTATCAAAACCTGTTTCCAAACTTCAATAGTTTCATTTCTAGCTGTCCTTTTGAATTCTTCACTATTTATACATAATACTGAAGATGCAAAAATAAAACCTGACACTGCTAAAATCAATTAATGGAAAATTTTCAACTCACAACGAAGTTTCTTAGAGTCTTTATTTTCTTTCTCTTTTTCTTTATCTTGTTTTTCCACCCCAGGGGAATCTGGTACCTCATCTTCTAATGCTTCATCAGACTCCACTACCTAGTAGATTTAAGAAGATACACAGTGATCAGTTTGCCAATTCATAGAACATAGCATTAACAAACATACTTCCTGTAGGCAGTTCTACAATACACATTTCTTTCCAAATATAACGATACTCAGTTGGTTCTTTCCTGAACTTTAGATGCTAAAAATATCTTCAGAAATTGTATCATTCTCACTGACAGAGTGAATAACTTTGAAAAACACTATTTGATCGTAAGACCCAATAAAGAAAGTTTTGCTGAACACTCACGGTACAACCAGCCTTTCATGGTAACACTTCATTACATCAACCAACAAACAATTTTTTTTTTTTCAAAACCAGTAGACAAACATCAGCTGTTTCATGTTCTGCTACAGAAGCACCTGATTAAGAGTCTAATAAACATTTCTAGAGCATTTACTCTATTTCTCATCTCTGCAATTAAAATTTTCTTAATAGAACATAGAACCACTAGCTGGAAAGTTTCACCACTGTCAAAACATACACTGAATTCACTTTGAAAATAAATTTACCAACACCTAAAATCATAACCCTGTGTTAGAGCAATTAACAGTCTCAAGTGAAAACACAAATCATGGTACAGTGCAGAGGTAGATACCATGGTCTGTGAAACCTCCTGCCTGCAGCCTCATACCTACGCTATGTGCATGACTGCAGACCTATCAGAAAATAGGAAGAGAAACTTCATCTGGTCTCAGTACAACATACTCCCTTCCAAAACGGTGTATTTCTTAATTCATTTCTACTAAAGTGAACTTGACTTCTACACAGTTACAAAAAAATCTGACTGCAGAGTCTGTTTTGTTACATGGACAGACATTTTAAAAATACAGTAAGGCTGCATACCCCAGAGCACTGAATGAGCAGAAGCAAGACTTCATTGACTAAGTTGCACTTTAAGTTGAAGGGCTAACATTAGCTTTAAATAATCCTCATTCCCTGTTGCTTTTCAGAAGCTTTGGATAGACTTTTTACGTATCAAAGATCAATATATTCGACCACCTGATTAATGTCTCCACTAAGGATCCCTCTGCCACTGAGGCCACTTCGACAGGGCACTTTTCAAGAGGCCTCAAAGCTTTTTAGGAGTTTTAGATTTAAAATACATAAATTGCTTTGGAAAAGTCATCTGGGATCTAGTTTGTATTGTGGTACAAGTCTAATCTAGTAACCTGGAAAATTCTGTATGTAAAAAGGAGCAGCCACATCCTTCACAGACAGCTATTCCTCTTGAACAGCGTACTGCCACAGCAGCAGCCTGAAGGAGCAAAGAGACCAGAAGCTAAGCTGTACTTTCTTTTGAGGAAGATCTCCTCACACTAGAACTAGCCATAGCTATCCTGGAAAAAGACTCACAGCTACTATTACCAGAAAGTTCTCAAAATTAGAAGTGCGTTTCAAATTCAGTAGATTTTTGTAACCAAAGCTTCAGTGCTCCAAATTATCAGGTAGTGTAATAATGTACGTTTCGAACTGCCATATCCTCAGCCTCCTGCCCACACAAGAAAAATCAGGAAATTAAGATGTAGATGAAGCACTAGACATCATAACATCAATTATTTTACTAAATAATGTTACCTTGAAAGTAGAGCCTTCACAATCCAAACACATACCTGATTGTTGATGGTATAGTTAAGAACTTTATACCATTCATTAATAAAGCTGTCATTATCAGATTGAATTAGGAGCTCAGTTCCTTGGCGGGTTTTCAGCTTTAAAGAAGTAAAAACAGGTATCAACAGAATTGATAAACACACTAGAATTCAAAAGTGAAATTACCTAAATCAAAAGAAACTTCTCCCTGGCATAAGTTTTAAATAATATATAGCCAGTCAAAAGTATGTAGCAGTGAAAACCGTAAATAATAGTCTGATTAATATTTAAAAGCATATCCCCACACAGATATACTAAAAATGGACATTTCTTGCAGGTACTAAGATGCACGTACATTTGAGCAGGAAGAAGTGTAGGAAACTCAAAGTTTTTTTATTTTAAATTCTGAGACAATTTATTAAGTCATTAATTAATAAGTACATATAATTCTGTATTTAAATGAAATAATTCACCTCAATAACATTCTTTTTGCTGGATTTTTCCTTTGAGGCCCAGTCAATCAATGCCCCTTTGAGATCCACTGTAAATTCTGGCTTAGACTGATTGACGCCAAACTTCTGGAAAAAAAGGAACAATGATGACAAACTTACAAACAAACACGGAAGCTCCTAACTGGAACACAGTCTTGCAATCCTCTAAATATAACACAGATTATTTACAGTCTGTACAATTTTACCCAAATACAGAACTTTGCCACAGAACGACAGGCATGATACCAGGAAAACAAAAACCAAACACAAAACACCGTTTAAGCATGCCTATTAAAACCTGCTCTGTTTAAAGCCCTTAAAATTCCATAACTTAAAATGCCAACCAGATTCCAGCAGAGCTCTTTCAGTTCCTATTACAAATGGTAGACATCCATACAGCATTGACTGTAGCTTGATTTTCGTCAAGATAGTCCCAAGCTTTAAACAAAACTGGCTAACAAGTAACTGCACAAAAAACCCCCCACTCTGTCAGTTAATCGATGGTTGTATATAAAACAAAAATTAAAACCAGAAATAGTGGCTTTGCTACATAGGAATCACATCCCTCCTGCACTGAAAGAGCACTTTCAGTTTTTACATTTTTTTAATCTATATATTTCATGTGTGCATATATAAATAGATCTATTTCCAACAATGTTTTTCACATTATTTTCTATTTTTTCTGTAGTGCTTCTATTGTAACACTGGAGCATATCCTAGCAAGTAAACAGAACTCAATTTCACTGTCTAGCTACTAAATGAACAGCAAATAAATGAAGTGATAAAAAAAACACTTGACTGACAAGTAACTGTCAAACAATTTGGAGGAAAAGATCAGGGAGCTATTTTTACATACTGCTTTTACATTTACACTAGGTATCACATTTTTTTAAAAACAAGTATTTTCACTAGGGTTTCAACCTACACCACATAACTTTGAAATATCATTCCTCAAAGAAATCAATTCAGTGACCCATACAAACAAAAAGCTCCAATTGTGAGTAAAACATGGAACAGGAAAAGCAGCAAATCACTTGATTGTAGCATAGAAAGTCAATGCTGTAGTTCTAGGGTAAGCTTCTAGCATTTGATCCATCAGAAAGGTTCTTTTCTGTTTCTTTAAAAAGGCTTTAATGTGCGAATGCTGCTCGTGTGACAGCTCTGGGGGACCTAAACCCCAGGACAAGCTCCTTGCTGCGAACGCAAGGTTCCAGCCTGTACAAGAACAGCCACCTCCAAGGGGAGAAAAAACAGTTCAGAAACCAGAGCTAATCTGCTGCTTCTGATTGAATTCCCAGCATGGATGTTAATTAATGCTAATGGTGTTTTAGAAAGGCTGTTTACCACTGGAAAATCTCCCTGCCTTGAGTCCTAAGGGCGAATAAGTGTTGAATGGAAAGCAGCATCTTAACTCCTTTATTTTACTCATGAAATATCAGAACAGGGGAATAGTTCTAATTTACCCAATGCCAACTAGCACAAAAACCAAAACCCTTCTCCTTTCTGACTTAAACCTCATCCAAGAACACTTCTTATCAATACTAGTAGAGCTTTTGAGAGAGGCCCAGCTCAGCAGTGGAGTTCACAGGAACAACCTCTGGACCATTCTGGCTCCTGCAGTTGTGGGTGGCTATGCAGAGATGCACATAACTGCTTCAACATACAGCCAAAATGCCTCAACCACACACCTCCTGACAGCCTGGAACAATCTTGCTGTGTATTGGGAAAAAAAAAATAATTCTGTGTAAAGTTTGGCACTGGAGAGAGCAAGAGAGTAAGGGATTGGTGCCTAATTTCTCTGCAAGATTGCAGGGATTCGTTAAAAACACTGCCTAGATGGTGCTTTGAAGCACAGGAGATGACCTGCTAGAGGAGAAATCAATGAACAACAAAAAATATAACAGTCTCTGCTGCTTTGATTGAAAGGAAAGCCCTCCAACATACTAGATTGCTGCACTCCCCACCTGACAGAATGCAGTACTACCTTGAACACCCCTGCACTCTATCCATGTTTTTGGCCTGACTCCCTTTGCATTTCAGAGAAGCTCAGAATAAATCGAAAACTAGAAGGTGAATTTCTCACAGAGGGGAAAGAAAGTCTACCCCACTCCTTCACACAAGCAGTGGCCAAACTGCTGTATGAGATCCAAGGATGGGGAAACCCATGCAAACAATCCATGCTCTCTGCAAAGCTCCTCTGATATACCAGTATATTCTGTACTGACCACAAACTTAATTTCCTTATTCAAGGAAACGTGAAGTTTAGCATCTAGGCACTCCTATGAGCTTTCCTGTCAAGGTTTTCTGCTGCTGGGTATATGAACACACGATGCCAGCAGCCACTTCCCTCTTTGAAAACTTCCAGGAGCAGGTCCTGTACAGGGCTGCTCTGATGCTCTGCATACCAAGGTTAGCTCAAGGCAATCCAACCCTCCTGAAGCACGCAGGTTCTTTTGGGAACAGTAAAAAGAAAACCTTTCCCTTCAGCACCTGCTGCCACCTAGACATAAAGTCTGCTTTCTAAAAACAGAGTGTGCTACCAAGTCAGCACTAGTCGGGATAAATTCATCTCTTGCTGAGCAGACACCTTAATTTTATGGTATTTCTCTTCTCAGCTCTCTGGGAGGTTTGGAAAGGACAGAGTGTGAGACAAAGAGAGAGGTCTACACATGGTGCTGCCAGCTGTCCTAGATATGAAGCTGTCCTACAGTCACTTCTGACAGCTTTTTCTAGAAAAAACGCATGGTTGTGGGATGTGCTTATGCTAGTTATATGGCAAAGATAACTTCTACTACCAAAAGGAAAGAATAGGAGGGTTTTTTTTGCTTTAGACACAGTAGAGAGTTTTGGTTTACCACCACTGTACTCCACATGGAGGATATCTGCCTATTACAGAAGGTTGACAGATGAATCGTTCTAAGTGTTTACCACTTGCTGTGTTTTATGAAGCCTCATCACTAAAATCTGGCAATAGCTATTCCAACTCATTCACACCAAAAGTTGAGAGACGCCTTCTTTCAACAGTTGAAAATTTACATTTCTGTTTAAAACATATTTAAGAAATCCACACATTTACTTAGAGAGAGCAGCTTTTTAAAGGCTATCAAATTGTGTATAAGTTATCTGTCCCAGGATTCCACATACATAGAAATGCATTTGACAGACAAAGAAAAGGCAGTTGCATGACTTTTAGCACAAGGTTAACTGAACAAGCCTACAGTTACTCCTCCCTACAGGGGAAAAAAAACCAGGCAGTTGTCATCAAGAAGGTCATTCTAGAAGTCTCAGGAATCTTAACTAAACTCAAAACATGTAGCTTGCTCTCCACTCTTCAGGGAACACAGCCAAAATACCAAAATAGTTGTAAATATCACCAATACCTCAGTTCTGGTTGAAAGCTTTAGTTTGATTCTGGTAAGAGTACTGAGAAAGCACTATTGAAAAAACAATTATACAACCAGTCAAGCCTGCTTGTTTCTTATAACACTAGTATCATTATTTAAATTCCTCTTCATCCACCTCGAGCAACAAACTACCATATTAGCTACCAATATTTTATCAGCTTCTTATAAGCAGCACTTCTGTGCTTGGCATCTGCACTTTGAAACGTGTCTAACAACTGATGCTTTAATTATACATTAAGAGTCCTCAAAATTTACACCAGCTTTCTGTATGTGGCATACAGCCAGAACATCCTTGAGCTTTTTTCCTTTAGCTTTTTATGCTTAACATTTACATTTTGGGGTATTCCAATTATAGCTAGAATTAAACAACAACATGTACATCACTGTATCAAAGGCATCATAGGCACTTTACAAACATCCTAAATTAGTTGTGTTAGAAAGAATTAAGCATAAAATATCTGTTAAAAAACTGACCACATCATGCTGTTTATTAGTCAAGACACTAGTGGTTCAAATAGTAGGCAATTATGGGATTAAAATTCTGGCACTAATGAACCAGATACTTTTTCTACTTTGTTCCATTAGAACAATTACAGGATTACTGCAATATTACTGCAAAGGTTAATTTGCACCTTGGATTACTTTCAGAAAACAGCAAACAGGATATACAAGGTGTTATATGAAGTGATGAAACTTAAGCCTTTGAAAAATTCAAATTTACTTCCAAGATTAGTGGCAAATAGCCTTACAGCGACAAGAGGCATGCAACAAGAACACATACAGTGATAGCTGAAACTTGGTCAGAGTTTACATAGGTGACAGCAGGTCGACGACTGAGAGCATTTTTCCAAGAAGAAAGCAGCGAGAGCAAGAGCTCAGGAATTGAGCTCCCTTGGCAAAATGACTTGATGAGAAAAAAGGAAGAAAAGTGATGAAGTCACAAAACAATGCACAAAAAAAGAAATGGTCATATCAATCACTAGACGAACGCTAAACAAATATTCTTCTCATAGGATGAAGAAGAAATGTAATTTTTATCATGTGTCAAACTGTTAGACCTAACTTCATCTTATTAAAATACTGATACAGAACAAAGCTTGAGAGGTGAAGTGGCTTTTTGAACACTCAAAAGAAAATTCCCACATGGGAGCAAATACAGTGTGTGGGAATATTTAATTACACATTTACAGAGGCATCTGTGAGTATGCAGGTATATAACACAAAGTCCTTGGAAGACGGTCTCCCTTAATATTTGTAGCTTAACATTAGTATGAATAGAAAAAAGTGATCTATTTTGCTGAACCTACCCCAATACTTGACAGTACACGTACCTGACAGTCTCGCACAGAAATATCGATACACTATGATACTTTTGCTCCACTTAAATTATGACAAGAATTTATGCTTTCTCCCACAAGTGACTGTATTTGGAAGATGTAACACAGCTTAGTATCCCTAAGCAATAAGCAGGGTTGTGTGGCTGTCTTATATGGATAATTCATTTGGGCACACATTCATTCATAACAGTATCATACATTCATGAACAGTATCTTAGTTTAGGACTGTGTGCTTTAATGATATCAACATATAGTTAAAAAACTGGTTTTTTGATCCACAGCTACGTTTGGATTAAGTATATTAGGAGCTGTAATCAAGTTCTCAGAACTTGAATAATTACCTGGGTGAAATATTTTACTTTCCCAACATACATATTTATACCTGTAAAATTAAAGGGGTTTTTTGATCCTTAGCTATAAAAGCACATTGCAAAAGTTATCAGTTTCCATCATTAGTGTGCTGCAAAAATAACAGTATTCTTTGTGCACTGACTAAATACCAAAGCTCAGAAGGGCCAGGAATCTTCCATTTTATGAAGTAGAGTGATGAAATTGAACTTGACAATAGACAGTGACTGAAGGGCATGAAGGAAGGTGAGGGGAATGAGTTTTAAAGCTTTCCAAATCCCAGTACTTCCTGCTTCAATGCTCATCTTTTAAGGTTCTTCAGTATTTCCTCAACATACTTTGTTAGAAAAGTTCTGTTCATTTTCTTAGTTGCAATCTTTTTCTCATTGATGAATAAAGGTAATTATATTTACCTAATCTCCCAACGTTTACAGGTGAGAAAGTCACTAACTTTCATATATATGTTTCTATGCCTTTCCTGTGCTTTGTCTCTGATGCACATCACATTTTTTCCCCCTGCCACGCATGGTGTGGGCAAACCTCCTTAGGATACCACGTCCACTTCTCGTGTGCCTTTAATCTTTACTCTTTTTCTTTCCCTTCTGCTTGACCAACTCGACTCTTTCCATTGTCTTACACCCCCATGTTATTTATCTGTCCTCACCCATTTTTACCCCCGACCATCACATCTACAGCAACAGAAGGGCAAAAAAATGTTTACAGCTCTGAAATGAACTCAATGCTTTAGCAAAGAATTGTCAATACCAATTCATTACCCAAAAAAAAGCACAGCAGGAGAAAGTGAGCCAAGTAGAAAGATAAGCAAAGAACAGCAAGGTAGCATATATCTGTAAGATGCAATTTTGCTGGAATTTACATAATAATACGCTGGAATAACCAATACTGAATCTGACCTCTCTTTAGTTATTACAGGAGATCTACACACTTTAAAGTCAGACCTCCAAAAGTAGGTAAGTAAGCTGCAGATGAAGAACCATCTCTATACCTATTAATGTAGGAATGCAGCTGGATAAATATAGCCAGTTTAATTATAGTGCTATTAAACTAGAGATGACAAAAATTGAATAATCATCATCTTCAGTGTGATGTTTCTCTTTAGGTCTTCAGAGATCAAAATAGATACAAATACTTGTCATGTATTATGCAGATATAAAGCAAAATATGGAATCCAGCAAGGCAAAGACTAAATGACAACAATACTACATTATTCAAATAGTCCAATGCAACAAGCCAAGTGTCAGACTCTTTTTTTAATTACATGTATTCCATTCAAAATCACAGGGAGTTTGTGAAAAAATATACAATGGTAAAACAAACAAATGGTTTAGACAAACACATTAGTAAGGAACATGAAAAAAATTGGCCTGGAGCAAAAAATTCAGGGCACCTGAATACCTACTTATTACACATTAAAATGTTTCTGAAATATAAGAAAATAGTTTTCTTCATTCTACATCATAGTCACTCCATTAAACTATTTTCCTGCTAATTTACACACATTTATTTTTTTCTAACTTATGTATGCTTATCGTTATTTAAACCCTACAAATAAGAGGGCTTTAATTTATTGTGCTTTACACAATTAACACTTAAATAAGGGTGGGAGTTGTTCCTGAGCTTACCCAGCCAGTTCCACTTCCTTGGGTTTTAGTGAACAGCAGTGATGAGCCTTGTAACACTGCCCATGATGACATCCAATTCTTCCTGTTAGTTTTTGTAAACAAACATAAGATAAATTAACTTTGAAAGCAGATATTTAAACTGTCATTCACTGTTGCCCAGCTGACCTGCATGTTAATATACATAGCCATATATGCAGTCATTAGTGCCATCAGTAAGTATTAATTGCTATCATATTTGTAGAAGGGAACATATGTTAACAGTCCCAGCCTGACCATCAAAGTCTAAATCAAACAACGCTAATTAGCAGTGGAAGCAGTTCACCAGGACACACCATTCAATTATAATTTCAAAGGGGCTAATCTGGAACACTCAGCCTACTGTGTACTTAGTAGATTATACCAAAGCACTGCATAATTCTGAAATTGATTGATCACATCTAACTGGGATGTCCCACGTTTATGTAATAAGCTCATTTACACTGGCAATAAGATATTTGCTACACATTTAAAAATGCAGAAGAAAGAACCAATTAGTTGTTCCAGCTGTCTGACTCTTTGCTTTTATGCCTGAGCACCCATCTTCCCCGAGATGAAAAAAATAAAAGTCTTGACAAGCCCTGACACGGTCTATTCCCATTGCCCAAACAAGAATCACTCAACAGCTCTCAAAGTGACAGGTGGCCACACTGCATCTTTCTGTACAGAAGCCCAGTAATCCAGATCAATGATGCCAAGAGATGGAACATAAATGGTGAGAGTACGTTGTACCAGTAGCAGCTTACACGAGCCACTGTCCACCACCCTTTCCTACCAAGCTCTGAGGAACCAAACCAGGGGTCAGATGTGCTTCCAGCTGCACTGGACTAGGTCAGGGTGGCTCTGGAATATCAGATGAGTGCTGACTATTTAATCCCCAGGAAAAGCACTCTTCATGTATCAAAAGTCTAGGAAACACTGAACTAGATATAACAGAGTATTAGACCTAAAGATTAAATTTTTAAAAAATATAAAAGTAAAAAAGTAAAAAGTAAACCTAAATTAAATCTGAGGATGCGCCACACACACACTTAATGCAGTATTTAACAGTGATTCTTCGCAACACACCAGAAATGTAAGTTAGCATTACTTGATAATACATTATATAAGTGCCTGCCTGTGAGGCAGAGAAAGGAAGTTAGAAATGAGGTCATTCATCACCTACATGAGGACTAACACTGGGCAGTAACACTGGGAGAAACACATATTTGGGATAAAGAAACGCTGTGTCCCCCAGGAAAATCTCTAAGGTAAATTCAGACAGAAGTAAGAAATTGCAGAACCCAGTATGCAGTCCTAAGTAAGTCAGGTACCTTACACAAACCTTTATGCATATGTACTTCTGAAAGTTCAAGACTTACCGAACTTTCTTCCCATTTTCTGTAATTTTTGTCACATTCAATAACCCATACTTTTCTTGGCCCTGTAAGATAAAGCAAGACATAACAAATACAAAAGAAAATGTTTCTATTGTCATCGCAACACTGAATTAAATCCTTCAAATAATCAATTTCTGGCAATGAGCCATTTTTGCCCACGTTACAAACTCAAGAAACTGTCTTAAGTACAGTTAAATATGCAGAGATGAGCAAAATAAAAATTCCTCTGGGAAACTACTCATTACCATTCAGAGGGTAAAAAGCTTTCCTTCTTTAAAGCCTAGGTTCTTTGTACAAATGAAAACATTGGTGGTACTAAACAGTGGAAGTACTAAACATAAATTTATGATTTGTGTAATAACACATTTATGTTTGTATCCTTTACTTAAACAGCCTAAATCTCTGGCAAAATTCTTCCAAGTTATTTTAACATAATTTCATATTGTAAATAAAACATGGTTGAAATGCATAAAAATATTAAGAGTCATTTCAAAAAACAGATGAGTGAAAAATTTCTTTGATGTCCTATTTCTTCCCATCCCCAAGCAAAACATTCGAATTTTAAACTACTTAGTTATGTCTTCTGGTGGCAATAATTTATATTGGTATGCCTCTGAACAAATTTGGAGATTAGTGGAACAGTGGAAAATCAACACTGAACAAGAAGGGTATTTGCAAGTTTCAAATAATTGGAGTGAATATTTCTAGTTTCTATGCAAAAATAATCAAATATAAAGAAATGTTTGAAGAAGTATTCTAGGATATAAAGGAAAACCATCAAGTTATAGCATCTGTGACTCTCAAGATGAGGTAACAAATTCTATCGTTTTTTCCCCATCAGCAAATGCTGCTGAAGGAATGTTGAATTATTTTTTTAATCAATTCCTTTCCAGTAACAGCTTGTAACAGTTCCTAATTTAGGAACTAAGCTATTAGCATTGAAACAATCAACTAAAAAAAAAAGGGAAAGAATCTAAATTTGTTTTATCATAACAAAAATGTCCTCAATTCTAGATCCAGTGAAAATAGAAGATATATTCTCTTCAGCATTCTCCTCTAAATTTCAAATTTAAGTGGACTATAACTGTAGAAAATATTGAAGAGAAAGTTTTTGCTGGAATACTGTGACAACACTCTTACTGAAGACATAGATCTGTTTTTCATGAACTTTAAAAAATGTTACCTACATGTTTCAAGCACAGCCCATAAAATACGAAAAAAGGCATGTTTTCAAGGATAATAGTGTTTAGCTGGTGGTTCAGATGTTATTTCAGTTCAATGGCAACTGCTACTCTTACTCAAACTAATACCTCCATTGGGCTACAATGTCTTTCAAAGCCAGTGATATATACATTATTTTCCAAATCTGATATTTTCAACAGAAGAAATGAGTCACTTTCCCTGCCCACCCCTCCCCCCTCAAAAAAACCCCCAATTCTTTAGATCATTATTTGTGATCTGTGCAGATCATCACTAACAGTCCTATGCCTTGCATCCTTCTACCAAACCTTTGGCTTTAGGAAGTGGAACAGCGGGTCACCATTTTTCACTGCAACTGAGCAACCCATGCCACTTGCTCAAATAAATTATTGTTTTAATAAATTACTCATGGTGGAATCAGTGGGAAAGTACCAAAGAATTACTCAGAAAAAGTATCATAAAATGCCCTACTTAGCAGCAACACTAGGGGGTACTAATGGGAAAATTAATGTAATCAATGAGAAGGAAGTGGAAAGCAAGTTAAGGATCAAAATACACAAAAATTCACCACCTTTCTTTGGAATATTTAAACACCAAAAAATACAGATTACTTTTTTCTATTATATAAAGCAGTAGTGAGTTCTTCCACAAAATACAATTTTAATTATTCAAGGTTTCAGCCATATCTAAAGACATTAAAATACATGCAGCAAGAATGGCTTGTGTGTAAGGCTATCAACTATGTTTGCTTAATAAACAGTGTTCATTTTATTGTGGAAAAGTGTTTGCAGACTTGTAAGAATGGATCAGCATGAATAAGCCAGAGAACCATTCCTCTGCATACAGAGTAAGAATGAAACAGGAGAAGTTGTGTCTTTAATGCCCTGAGCTACCTACTAAAAGGGCTGCTAAAATTCATCAAGGCACGTATTTCGATGGTACTGTAGTACAGTTCCAAGAATTTTTTTAAAAATTAAAACTTCATTTTTTAATTATTTCCCACTGTTTAAAAAGCAATGATCACATTTAAAATATACACCGAAGCAAAAAAGAAATCTGTTAAACATTAATAATGAGTTTAACAAGCTTAAGTTTTCCTCCTAGTAGTTATTCTACTAAATCAAAGAGACAGTTTATTTATGCCAGGTCTTTTATGTTGTTCCAAGAAGAATGAAACACAAGTAAAAGATAAAGATATCAAATAGTACAAACTATTACTGCGTATTCACAGTGACAGGTTCTGTTTCTGCTTTTACCTTACAAGTTGCCAGGTGAGAAGACATGGCTGTCGGAGGAAGTAAACCAAGTTCTGCATAATTTCACATAACTTTATTCCACAGAGAATTTTTAACTTAAATCTCCTATCTCCAAGCTGTATTTAAACCAAAGACATTTACATTTTTTTTCCTGAAAGCACAGTTGGATACATTGCATTCCTTTTAAGATGTAAAGCCTTCAAAGAGTTTTATCCTATTATTTTTCTCAATAACAAGCAGGCTTCCCCTCAATTCTCTAATCATGAATAGCCTAGTTTCTACCAGATCTACTTATTTATTTAAACACTTTGCATACTGACTGTGGCTTGATGCTTTGGTGAAGAAGGAGAGGACTCATTTTCAGCAAAACTGGCCTTAGAAGCAGTTGATGATTCCTATAAAATTCAAACAGGCAAGAAAAGTTATTACCTTTCTTACAATTATTTTTTTTAAAACCTCAAGATACTTTTCTATCTCTCTCTGCACACACTCACACGTTACCAAAAAAATGTACTTATATTCTCAGATAGTTTTATTAGAAACCTGCTTACTAAACAGTGCTCTTACAATATTTACAGACAACATTCAAACTGGGTTAATTAGTACACATCCATTTGAAAAAAAAAACACCAAACAACCCACATTAATACATACTGTATAAGCTTACGCAAAGCTTTCATCCTTATTAAGGGGCAGATTTTTTGTATGACATTTATACTACTAACTTCTTACCGTGCACCATATAACAAATACCAAGATTTGGAAGAACAGATTATGTCTCGTGTGCGGATAGTAAATATAAGATTAGCACAATAAATTTTTATATATGTAGAAAAGCATACACCAGCTCTACTAAGTTTTGTGAGTCATAATCATTAATTTCCTTACAATCAAGCACTGAAAATTTCTAGAGATTCATGTTTTCATTTTAAACTAGACATTAACTATGTGTCAAAAGAAAGTACTAAATCTGAAAACTAGAAGAACTGTCCATTTGGAACAAAAAGGCACATGAGTTTCCCCTGGAGTAATGACTGCTTTGCACAAATAAACCACTTGAAAATCTGGTAAAGAATTTCAAACAGAAGAAAAACATCACTTGTTCTCTGCTACCATTAACACCTTTCTCCCACTCCCTCTTTTTAATTCCCTTGATAGCTCTCCCAAATTCAGTTTGCTTTTCCAGCTTTACATAACACTCCGCACGCCCATGCTTTAAAATTCACTTTAAGTCTACCTACAAGGAGTGGCCCACTGCTTCATTTAATAGCATAACAACAGAGAACATTTGAAATCCTAAGAACAGCCTAAACGTTCCTTATTTTCAGATGTCTGTAGGGGCAAAAAATGTTCAAATTACAGAAATCAATGTTGTCCCTCTGAGGAAGGTATTTTTTCCCTCTGCTTACCCATTTTTTGAACTGATTGCTATATTCAGGTATGTGCCACAGCCAATGAACAGTTAACAAGTACATCCAATACCATCAAATGCTCATCAGCCAGGACAACCCATGCTTTCACTCTGACACATTTCAAGCACTCTTTTGACTGGCCTGTTTTCTTAGAATTGAGTTGTGTTGTTTTTCCAGGAAAAACAAGTAAGGAAAATAAAAAGAAAATAGCTTCTCTAGGAGTCAGCTAAAAAGCTAACTTGAGGTTGATGTGCCTATCCAGCCAAATACCAGTTGGTTTTCTTTATATTTCATTCTGTATTTGAGATAGCTTTTATACAGTAAGCAACTCTGGAACAAGAACTCCAGTATTTGTTGTCATGATCTATTCCGTTTCCACATACTAATTTAAAGTAGAATATATAACAGCATGTTCGCCAGTGGTAATAAAACAGGTACATCAATGCACTAAGGAAATTTTGTCTTTCCACAAAACACTAGTTTATTGTTCCACTACACATTTTTAATTCTCTCGAATCATTAACTTAGTGCTTTACATGCAACATATAGCCTCCTCAACATTAAGCAATGTACATTGCCTGCGTGTTTTTCTGAAGCTGTTAAAGGAGCTTTTAAGCTACTGACTTAAACTTTACAAATGTGGCTTACATACACAGGTTTTTTTTGTTATTACACTAGGCGTTTGTATATTTGCTTCACTAGATTTAAGGTCTTGGTATTTGAACATTGTGTCTTGAAAAAAGTAAACGACTCAATTTATTCAATGTTTTACAAGAACTTCTTCATTCAGTGCAGCGTGACATAAAGGTTGTTCTAAAACAGAACTAAATCTTATGCCAAAACATAAAGAAGTAAGTTTCACTTTAAAAGCACAGTCAAAACTTTAGGCTGTCTCCAACAGAACTGTTCAGACCTGTGAAGTGTAAATGGCACAGGAGGCTGGAAGCGTCCGCTCAGCTTTGATTCATCAGGCCTTTGCCTAGGCTGTCTCTCACGCACCGCCAGAGCGCACTCAGTACAGGAGGATGCGTGAAGAGGAGTAGAGGAGGGGAAAGGAGCAGTGCAGGGACCTCAGAATCACTCGAGCTAAACTAATGGGTACAGGTGCAAAGTCTCGACCAAGCACAGCCCACTGCCTCCTCAGCACTGCGCGTGATGTATTCTAAACTGACAGCTCAAAAGCTTAAGATCAAATCCAATAAATCCTATTCTTAAATTAAGTCAACTCATGACAATTCGTTCTACTATACTTCATGACAAGGAAAGCCATTAAAACGTACCAGAGGTCCAGCAAGTAACATTCTGGGCAGCAGATCCATTTTCATTGCAACTGTTGGGTTTTGCCCATTTGTTTTTGACATCTGTGATTACAGAAACCTGCTTATAGGCTTCTCCACGCTCCCAAATCTAGATTCATGTCATTTCCCCCTGTATCTTTAGAAAAAGAGAGCTCACAATGCCATTTCCTGGTATCTCATTCTGAGAAGTCTGTGCTAATCTTGGGATGGACTGTTGAAGTTACAGAAACCAGCAAGTCACCACCCTATGACACCCGTTTCAGTTCCTCCCCACTCAGCTCACATCAACCCTCCTCACTCAGGGACAGAATGTCCCAGCACAAGCATAAATGGGACAAAAACCAAACTGAAGAGAGACAAGCAGAGGGAGGGCCAGGGAGAGGCTCTGTCTCCTTGTTGGCCTAAACAGCGTCTGCTACTGTACAGCCCAAAAACGACCACCAAGAACGTGGCCTAAGAACGGGCAGAAGACAGTTTTTGTTGTTTCTGACCCACAGCTCTTTTCAGACTAAACACACAGCTCAGCTCTGGACAGGATCAAAGCCAAGCGTTTCAACACTTTCAGTACTGTCCTCTGTCCTTCAATAACATTACAGTGCTGTAATCACACACAGCTTTTCCTCTTACCTTGAGATATTACAGTGGAGATCAACAGAACAGTCATTAAACATATAACATTTAAAAAGTCCACTATATAATACTACTATTTACATATTTAGAGCATAGTTTTTACTTTAGCAAGTGCAACTTTTATTTCAATTCTATGAATATTTCAATTATTTATCTACACAGTCTTTAAAGTGTATTCCTACTTGGTGTTTCCTACAGTTAAAACATTCAGGCACAAAACATCACTATATCCTACATGAAAACCTCACCCACATCCACAATTCTTGAATTTGTAATCCTAATTACATTCCATAGCCTCAACTGAAGTGGGAGATTCACAGTTATAAGTTAAATGGCTGTATGTGACAAACTCTGAACTAACACTAGTTAAAATACTTCAAGGATAACAAGAAAAGAGCTAATATTCACAAAGTACCAGTAGTAAAGTTATTGAACAGCCCTTGGTTTTGCTAAACATTAGACACAATGATACAACAGAATGTGAGAAAAATTAGATTTCAGAATTTCATGCATACCCATTTCTGTTAAATACTTCAGACATCATTAACAGTTGGTATTCCAATATGCTGATTAACTCGCTCCTACCTTGTCATTGGTGTCCAACACAATTGTGCTGTGCCTCCATTTTGTTAAAACTATTGGTTCCTGTAGCCTCCTGTCCAGACTCCTACTCTTTATTATATCTCTCTGCTGCTGTGGCGAAGCATTATACTAAGAAGAGAAAAATCAAACTATAAGTAGAATTTAATTCACGCAAACAAGACCTGGACATACCATTCATACATCTTAACAGCGCATACTTCCAGATTCGTCATGTCACCCCAAGGTGTGAAAATAGCCTTGGTTTCATTTTGCATTTAGTCTTCAGACCTGTCCTTTCTACTGTGGTCCTCTCTGAGGCAGTAACTAAGACTGGCCTGTTGGGGTAATACTCTCCATTGGCAGAGAGATGTTTGATTTCTCAAATTTGTTTTTTGTTTTTGTTTTTTTGTTTTTGCACAACAGCTTACTGCAGACAACCAGCATAATGAGAACCACCAGGGAATTGGAATAAATACAAGACTTAAACATTCACTATTTGTATTGCACTGACAGTACTATACCACTTGTCTAGCTCTTCTGTAAGAAAATGTAAAATCTGCAGTATGGCATTTAGATTGGAGTTACAAATGCCTGGATAGAACTGGTTTTGACCCAAAGTTTTGGGATGCCTTGAAGGTGAGACACAAGGGCAAACACTTGCTTTTCAGAATAATCATATAAAATTACTTAGAAAGGATTTGCTGGTGTGGAATGTACATAAGCACAGAAACACTTAGCAGGAAATAATTTTAAGACTCAGCAGAGCTATAACAGCCAAGGAGAGAATGGGTTTATCATAACATAGGTTTTCTAATAACTCAAGGGCATCCAAAGATGTACAAGCTGAGAAAATGAAGGCCATGAGAAGGACCCAGCATTTAATTAGATCTCAGCGTTGCAGCATACTTATTCGTAGCATTGCCATTTTAAATCATCACCACCAACACTGAGGTAGCATTATAAAAATATTTCAAACCAAGTTTAACACTGAAACTACAGACAAGAAATTACAACATCAATATATGTTTTTTAAATAACTTTTTAAAAATCTCATTCTTTCTTCTCAGCTTAAAAAGACTGAAATATGCACATAGAAAGAAACACAGGGCAGCATTTCCCGAGTCACATCAAGGACCAGATTCCACTGGATAAGAAGAAACACAGGAAAGTAAAGTGCCGTTTTATTTGAAAAGGCTAAAGCAATAATCTTTGTAAGCACACTGAATTCTACAGTTTTGCTACCGATTCCTACTGTAAGCCCTGAGCCTCAGGTCTTCAAAGACAGAATAACCTATACCTACATATACCAACAACGCACGGCAAGATTTAACCTAAATATCATAAACGCTGAACTTAAGCTAAATGGCATAACACACTTACATTTATTGCGCAAATAAAGAATGAGCATCACTACTGCCATGGCAGGCAGTGCTTGTTATCTTTGTTTATTACTATGATTCGAGTTCATGCTGTAGTAAGTCAATAGATGCTTAAAAGGTAAATGATAACTAGTGTTTCACTGAATTCTTTTTCAATACGCACATAAGTAGTAATACACTCCCATGTGAACGGATCTCGCAGTACTGCAAGTAAAGTTTGGTAGTTCACGTACATTGGAGAAATTCACTTCTGAGATTGCACTGGTTTTGTACTGGGCTCAGCACATTTATATGCACGTGATAACCGTGACGTTACAGCGAGGTTTACGCAACTCTTTTAGTCCCCTTGTTAAATGAAAAGCTGAGCCATCATTCACGCTGCAGGAATCCAACACCAGGTTACTTTCTTGTCATGGAAATATCCACCTTGCAGATGTTCCTACAACTCACGCTGTGGAACCAAGCTAAGTGATATGCAGCAGAATTGCCCATAGTACAGCTAAAATCTAAGCTGTTTTCAACAAAACTGTCTAAATTGTAGAAGATTGCCAAAACCAGTGTTCCTTCCAGCAATTCTAACACATTTAAGCAGGCAATTCACATATATTTCTTGTTATGAAACAGAATAATTTATTTCAGAAATAGATACACACTTCAGTGATGCTGCTGAATATTATTTACAAAAATCCTCCACGCAATTTCCATCTCAGTAACTTGAAGTATTTAAGCTTAAACAGTCAAAGACTTATTTTAAAGTAATTTATCTTGAATTTAAATCTATGTTAAGAGGTAGGATATGGGCACAAGCCTAACTACAGGTGATCTATATTTAAAAGTTGCCTTTGACACCATCACAAGCCATGAAAAGTTAACTTATCTATCAGACCAGCCTGTCTTGAAAGAAGAAGGACCTGCACAGTATGAAGTTAAAGTTTTAAAAAACATATTTAAAAGAAAGCAAAGCAACGGTATATGGAGCTCATTAACAAAGCACTGCTAACGACCTGGGAACACTGAGCTATGCATCTTAGCTGCTTACATAATTTGCATTAGTGATATGAACTGTTAGTAAACTGACAACTCTTTAAAGAGACCATTTGACATTTCTGCCTCCTTTTCTCACAACAGAGGCATCAAGTAAACATTTTTTGCTCAAGTGTTTATAGGATTTTTCTGGGAGATCATTTCTTTTATTCATTATAGCAGAACAGACTACTAAAGGGGAAAAAGACAAAGCTGATGTATTTCTGGGCTGAAGACAAGTCTCCACTGTTAAAATAAATTGATTGATCTGTGATTTCCAAGGAGAATTACAGTGAGATGCAGGTATTGTCTCAGATGTATTACCCAGCCATTCGCCAGATCAGAGTCCACTGACCAGAGAGAAGGAGCCACAGCTTTCAGAGATCAGGGCAGATGCCTACACCCCTGCTACTCTCTAGTCTGCCCCCACTCCCAATTTTCTTAATTCAGAGAGCCTCGCAGAACAGTTCCCGGTCAGATTCACCCCCTGACACTCTACAGGGCTCCCACCTGCAGCGCTGTTGCCTCTCCTGCAGGCACTGACAGTTGCATTTCTCACTGTTTATCAGTGGCAGTGAGCAATGAGGTTGGGCTCTCCTTCCCTTGCACAAAATCTTGTTTTTACATAACTCTAACCAGGGTTTCTATGCCTAAGCCTTGGCTTAATCTTGAAGATGGAGATCAGGCAAGGGCCGTACACTGCAATAAAACAGACCCACTCAAGACTACACATGGCCTGGTAGGATGATTTCTGGTACACCGCACGCCATAAGTGGCTTCGTAGCGTGCGATGTTATTTTCTTAATTCTAAATCTTTTGATTATGTAGCACACAACTCCAAATACACACACTAGTGCTCCTTGAAAATCCTCCACAAACTCAAATTTGTGCCATTACATTAACCCCTCCAGTGCATCACTTACTTCATTGGGAGCATCTCCTGTCAGGAAGGGAAGACATGAGCAAGTTGGTGCATGAAGTCAGAGTATGAACAAGTAACACAGATTTCTTGTTACAACAGCTCTTAGCACCGCAAAAGCACACCAGTCGTGTAAATTTAGGTTACACAGGGTTATTTTCATTGCTGAATTTGTTAAATGCCTTTGCCAGCTACTTAAAAGCTTTCTTTGCCTCAGTATAAGTTTTTCTAACTCTCTCAGCTGGCTAAGTGATTTATACTTAATTTTAACCTGATATCTGGCATGGCTCAAGGCTCTGTCCTAGCCTAATTGTGACTGAAAAAAAACGTAACACCTCTAAGTTATTTGTAGCAGTTGTCCCCGTTCTTATGGAGATGACACAGATCTGTCAGCTTTAAGAAACAGAAAAAAAAAAAGATTATTCCTGGTTTGCATTAACATCCTTAGCCAGATGAAAGGAATTGGGTGGGAAGCAGCAGACAGCAGAAGTCAGTAAAGACCCGCAGTTCAGCATTCTACTCTACCTTCTTGCAATCAGCGATCAAAACAGCAGCGTTTTAAAATATTCTGGTATTTTAGTACCCTTTATCACCTTGTATATTCTACCATGTTGTTTGTAGTTGTCTCAATAGACTGTCTTAAATTGAAGATTTTTAAAAACAAAAATTTTACATCTTGCTTAGAACAAAACCACTCTTTAGTGCTACTACTGTAGTTGGCTTGGAGTAAACTTGTTTGATGCTGCGATGGACATAACACCTGTGTTGCAGCTTTTGATCTTCTTATCAACTAAATGAATCATATTTTTCTTAAACATGCATAAATGAAGAAACAGGAGTTTTGTTGTCTTTTTAAGGCCCTCATTCTCTTTCTTTCTCTGGGGAAAGAAGATTCCTCATTCTCTGTCATAGCATGTCTGGGTGGCATCAGGAAGCATCAGGAACAGAAGCTGTGCAGAATGAGGAGACCACTGGGACAAGCAGCCCCATCTCTAACATACAAGTGACTGAAAGACACCTCTGGATAATCCACTCTGTTCACTTTGCTGCCTTGGACGTCCATTACTTTACTTTCTAACCCTCAGGATCACTAGGGCTGCTGATCTTTGAAGATGAGCTCCCAAGTCAGCACTGACTGCCACAGGGCCTGCTGCTTGCCCAAGCAAAAGCTGGGGCACTTTTACTCACCTGTTTTCTTATTTGGGAAGAGGGGAAGGGACTGGAAACCACCAAACACGAGGACAAATGAGGAAGACCAGACCAGGCCTCATTAATATAAATATACTCATTAATGAAATAAAAAACAAATCTTACTGCCTTCTCATACTTTTCAGGTTTGTCATATAACTTGTCATTAAAATCCATCTAGATCCTCGTATCAGTTGAGACTGTCTCAACTTTCACCAAGCAATTCCGAATTTTATGACAAGAATGTGAAGACGATTCACTATTGCTAATGACACTCTTCAGTGCACTGACTTACAGTAGATACAAATGCCAACACACGTAAGACATTACCTCAAATCAAGTAGCATAGCTAGGAACAAGACAAATTTACTATAAGACAACCAGGCCCTATTTGCTTGTTTTCATCTTTATTTTCCCTCACCATCTGATTGCATGACATCTTCCTGATAATACCTGCATCATGTTTTAATGTCATTTTTCAGATAGCATGCTCTGTTTCACATAATTCAGGTCTCCAGCAGGAAAATCATTCACCTGAGTATCAGAATTGAGGCCTCTGAGCTCACACTCGATGCTGACAGTGCTCAGAGAGTGAACTAACAGACTCTTAATAGACTGCTGGTCTATTAAGACTGCCAAAAATGACAGTCTACCCAGCAACTCCTCTGGATAAAGCAAGAGGAGCTAATGCTATAGGAATTTCTGAGAAGAAAAAGTGTAATTGTGGTATCAATTTGTAAATATTAACAGTCAAAACTGACTTCACTCCAGACATTCACAGTATAAGCATTTTCTTTCAAAGTCTATGCTTGGATGAGAGAGCTCGGTCAGAGGATGGCAAATCCTCCTGCTGTTGTGCCAGGTATCAGCCTACGAACATACTCTGAAAATATGAGAGACCATTAAGCATCTCTAATTTTTACTAGGTTTACCTCTCTTCCTCCCCTTTGAGCTACCCAATCAATATATATTACACAGTTCTCCTTGCCTTTTTGTCATTTTGAAAGATTACCTTTTTTTAAATTTTAGAAATATTGGAGTTCTCATTCCTGAGATCACTTTAACTTTCTCCCCTTATTTCTCATTTGCTCGAATTATAAAATTTATATTAGAAAAGTACTAGGTTTCCAGAATAGGTTTGTAGCCTTTCTCAACACGATTTAGCTATTACTCGTTCACTGCATATGAAATAAACATTTTATCATAGTGAACTGCGCAGAAAAACTTTTATTTGCTGGTTTACTTTTTTTTTTTTAATACTTAGCAAGAACTGACAACTAAATGCAGGAGAATACATAGGAGAAAACACAAAGTCTTTCACAAGATGTAGTATAAATTATGGTTGAAGATTATTATCCATTTTAAAGAATAATTCAGTATCCTCTTCTCTTCCAGTGTAAAAAGCTGGGTCACACTCATCACAAGCCTTAATAGACTTTTCAGCAGTTGTCAAAGCTACTCCGTCTGAGATGTCATTTTAAGCCAGAGGCGCTCAGCTATTCCTAGATGTTATTTAAATATAAATGACTGCAGGGCCTTCTAGGAGACTGTCTAAAGTAATTTGTTCTGTAACTCTCCCCCTCAAACATGTACCCTCACATTTTCTAACATACATACAAGACTACTGGAAGTGTTACTCCCGCGCATGTTCACATTTACGGTTAATGCTGTAACAGTGAAGTTTTTCGATGTTATAGTATCAGCTCAGCTAATGTGCTATTTCCAGAAACCTCTGACGATTTTTAGTTCTAATGAAGTCCAGATTATTAAAATCCATCTAACAAGAGGATTATCTTCATTTTCAGGTTTAACAGCATTACATGTCCATGCTATTCTATTGCTTTATTTCACAACAAATTTTGGAAAGCAGTATTTGAACTAAATACACTGGGGAAAAAAAAATATGACCAAGAGTAGGGCTTTTTTCCTAGTAACTTAATTTTAATTTAAGCAAGAGTTACAATACTAAAGTCTTTCTACTGTTTTCTCTCAACTCATGAGAGTTTTCAGTATAGATTATTCTTCTCCAAAGCAGTTTCATAGCCTACATTGTCTTTTCATTTCAAATTAATTCTAGTACAACTCAAATTTATTTTAGTGGAAAGCACCTTCTTCAGAGTCAAACTTTCTGCACTGCAGAAGTCACAGAATGAAGTACCGAAGATATTATTCCCCAAAATGAACTTCTATTGTACAGACAGAAGTAACAATTGCTTCTGGTAAAGCCTGGTCTAGCAGATTTTCAGGCTTCTAATTAATAACTGATCAACAGCTAAGTAGCTTTTAAAACCAATAGTTACAAATTACAATGTTAGGTTTATGTATGTTACAAGATTTAAGTTATCTAACACATCACAACAACATCAGGGAAGTCACAAAGCCAACTCAACTCTTCAGTGCTCAGATACATCAGTAAAAGAATTTGTAACAAAACAGTCCAGTATACAGCTTCCTTCATACATTTCAGTGTAAAAATTTTATCACAAATACTATGAAAGCACTATCTATTATTAACCTTGCTCCTTTCTAAAGTGGAAGTGACTCAGGACACCGATTTTAGGACTGATGAAACAGTAATTGAGAAACATGCTCTTTCATATACTCAGCACACAATTCTGTGTGAAACTTTTTTTTTTTAAAGTCATCATCTTACTACCGAGGATTGAACAAGCAGCCCAATAGCAGGAAAGAGGTATACAACTACATCGGTACTACAAATGGCCTAAGTTTTTCCAAAGTGAAAATGAGAATGAGAATTAATTAGTATTACGTACATCCTCAGACTACCAAGTGTCCCTAGCTCTATCACTTTCCTACAAGTTCCTATTTTCATTAGGAAAAAAATTACAAATTACAAATAACTTATTATAAAAATTATAATAAAATTAATACATTAATAAATACCAGAACACACTTCTGGTGAGACTCTGTCATCCTCAAAAATACCACAAAACTCTGCTAACACTTTTGTTTTCCAATGCCTGTCTGTATTAGGTGTTGAACAACTAAATCACCTAATTTAAAAATTCATGACAGAAAAGGAATGGTACTAAAAATAGACTAGTTTCTCAGAAATTGTTTGTACTAAAAAAAATAAAGTTCTTTTTTCCTATAGAGGTTTTCTTTGTCACAGCAAAATCACCAATATTCTGCAGCCCTGAATGAAAAGTTCAGTTCAGCAAAGATACAAGATCTTCTTTGACATCTGAATGGAAAAATGGATGTATGTACGTAACATGTCCTCGAGTATAATTTTTTCTCTTCACAACCAGAAATTACACAAAAATGTAAGAAATAACCAAATATACATATTCAAGTCCTCTTGTTGTGAACAGCTCCCATTAAAGGTCCCACAGAACAAAAAGCCCCAAGTTGTCAAAGTGTAGTGATCTTTTTTAGGTCACTCACCTTAGGTAGCTCCCATTCCGACCGGGAACCATCAGCACTGTAGTAGTATGGTCTACCTTGTTCATCTGCATGTTTAATCCACTGTAGAAAGAAATGTGGCGACAGGAAATGTAATCAGAGTGACAGTCATAACACAGTAAGTCTTTGATACTTGGGATTTAAAGTTAAATTTTAATAAAGTGTCATCCACTTCAGCAGGGTCTCATGTACAACCTCCATTAACTAAAAGGTTTAGTGAGCAATGAGAGCAACGCAGTTTTCAGCTTCGTGAATTGGGTTCACTAGTATTTTTTTCCTTCTATAATTCCTCATAAAATATTCCTGCAATATCACACAAGAAATTGTGACAAACAGGTATTTTTGACGATGGTTTATCTCACTCATCAATATGATGGTGTTAGTTTAGGGAGGTACAATGTTTGCATCAGATCTGTGTAACAATTTCATACATAAATTCACAGAATTACAAGAAGCTCAAACAGCAGCTGCTGGTAATTTAAGAAATAATTGCACTTGCTGAATAATTCTATTTTTAAATTATCAACAGGAACATGAGATGCATTCATAAATCATGAAAAAAAATCATATCATTTCTGTAACCTCTATAAACAATTCCCACAATCAAATGATCAAATCATAACTGTGACTAGTCATGCAGAAAGGAAAGAATTGTAATGAGCCAAAGTCTACAAGATTGCACAAAAACGTGCACAAAAACACTCAGAGCAAGACTCTTGGGTCAAGCAAGTTTCACAAGATCGCCTTCCAATAAACTGTTTGTGATACAAAAAACTTTTTTCTATCAATCTCAGTGCAATTAAAAAAAAGTTGCATATTTGCCAAAACATAGGTATGTGCTCCACAGATGTTTAGCAGAAATAGATTAAGCAGGATAAAATTTCAAAACTAACAGAAAACTCAATTATTTAAAGCTTCTTTCAAAAAACCTTGCATACATCAAGAAAAGAAGAGATGGTGCTATAATACTGTAAACCGCTGTTTCAATTAACACTTTTCGAAGTTAAAAAAATAAAATGCAACTTCGGTGAACAATCAGAAAAATGGATTGCTTTATAGATTTTAAAAAAAAAAAAGTCATTTGTCCTACATGGGAGAAATTTTTATGACATGTCCAGAATCACAGTAAGTTGTCAGCAGCAATTAGACAATTAGAAGAGAAAATAAATCTGCTGGCAAAGCTGCAGTTTAATTAAGAAGTTTGTCTACACCTGAAAGTGGTACTGACAATCTCTAGTAAAGTAAAGGATGAAACTGATAAAGCAGTATTCTTTTCAGTTTGAAACCATCCTAACTGGAAGGCCTATGTAGACAAGAACAGCTCTTAAAAGACAGTAAGAAAAACATTATATTCGTATCAAGATCATTCCTAAAGTATAACCAAGAGGATGGGGGAGAGAAAGAATTATA